CTTCTGATAAGAATTAAACTTCTTGCATTGTTGATGCAAACAGTTGTGACCTAGTGTCGTCATGTGGACTTTTCCACAAGGTTTGTTGGACAGCGTTACCCCGATTAATTCGGGGTGGTGGCGGGAATTTAATGCCCGGGATGTCGCGCAACTGCCTTTGTGGGTTTGCTCCACCGCTGACGGCGGTAGTGTCCAGCTGTTTGCGGACGCATGCGAGCAGTTAAATCCTATCAGTAAATGGCACGCTCCACCCGTCATATGACGGGCTCCTCGTGAGGGGGGTGTGATTAGCCATGGTTCATATCATCATCAGGGACGTCGCGTTAGTGACCGACCTGTGGTGTTTTGGCTCAAGATTTTGGGTTCCGTCGCGCCTCGAATGGGCGTCGCCGAACCCCTGCGTCGACCGACGGCATCTCGGGGGAGAAAGAGACCTCGGGCCGCCGCCAGGTTGGTAGGGACCAGTCGTGCGGCCTGTTGTCGACCAAGGTTGCGGGTTAACCCTTTTCTTGTTTGGTTTGTTTTCCTTTGGTTGTTGTTCTCTGGTGTGTGGGAAACCCTGATCTTTGGGACCGGGGATTGGTTTGCTTTTGGGGAACCTTTCTTTTGTGGCTCGTTTACCCCAACTTACCCATTGCCTGGGCACAGGATCGTGCCCGAATCACAGTCCCTTTTGTTTTGGGGGGGGGCTGTTCCCTCGACAACACCTGGCCCATTTTTTCTTTGGGAAGTTGTTTTCACGGACTGGGGATGTTTCCACCCCTACCATGGCGCTGATCTTTCAAGATTCAAGGCGCATCCCCATGAGTCGCATCAGCACGTCAAGCAAGGAAGGCTTCAGGTGACCCTTCAAGCTGCATGACGCGAAACCATGGCTGTCTACTGTGTGTACGAATGGACATGATTCATTTCGTGAAGTTGTGAAAAGACAAATATGACAATTCCAACCCAGGGATGGATGTTGCTGTCCCCCTTCAACAAATTTGCAAGGAGTTCGCATTCTGTCAACATCCATATACCGAGACGTTTCTGTCAAACAGCTTGACATGATTCGAAGCCAAGCCTCCCCTCGATGACACGGCCCTAAAAAAGCTCCAAATAAGGTCATTAACCCTCCTGTTCTCCAATCAATATGACCATTGCGTTTCAAGTTGCGGGCGCGCGCGGTGCTTATAGTTGTCTTGCACTCCAGTCCATCTCCAAGTCTTAACACTCACCTTTCCAGCTTTTGACTTCAGCCGTTGGGTTTGGTGGTAAGCAAAAAGTGCTCGAGCTTGGGAGGGAGAAGCACCGCTTCCCAGATTCCCGGAGCTGGCTCCCGCGGGCTTTCAGTTGGATGTATCACGCGATGAAGTCACTAAGCGAATCGGCCTGAAATGAGCCGATCGGAGTTCCCCTGTTTGACCCATGTTTGGTGGCCCTGCTTCCATTTTGCTGACCCCCAACGCCCAAATGTGATCACCTTGTAAGGACCGAACTGGGCAAGTGAGTGAACAAACCGTCCGCAGCTTTTGGCCAGGGATCCTTTTCGCACCAAGCAAAAAGGGCTGAAACTGATTCGCACAAGTCGAGAGCTCGTTCGTGGCAAGGCGCCGAGCAGGCGGGTCCCGAAGCGCTTCTCATGTGGGGGAACCCCGAAATGCCCAGGGGACGGGTCAGGCAGCAGAAACCTTTGAGGTCTGACAAGCCTTAATTGGGTCTTGGGCCCCTGACAATGGCTCGTCTCATTTTCGGGTTCCTCATAAAACACAGAGAAAACGGTGACTCAGTTTGAGACACCAGTTCTGATGCACTCAGGCGGTCCGAGCTCAGCAAACCTTGAACAGACACCCGGGGTTGCAGATAGTTTAAACATTGGCTTGGTCTCCATTGATTGCATTTGCCACGTGTTCCTCTCACTTTGGGCTTTAGTGTGTCTCCTTTGGTTCCATATATGGGTGTGGAGCTCAAAATTCAAGAGCTAGAGTGACGCAGGTTTTATTTAGTCTTTGGTTCCATTTGCCAAGGCACCATTTTGGTACAATGATTTGAGCCACAGCCATATAGGGTTGCCATGTTTCCACCTTGCAGGGGAATGTCCCCTTGGACCTCGCTCCGCCCCAGGCAGCAAAGTGGCAGCGGAAGCATGCGGCCTTGGAGGCGCGAGCGAGAGGCGCTAAGGGTGTGTTTCTCCTTGAGTTGAGCCAGAGATTCAGCCACTTGCTCAAAGCCGATTCGGGTAGATGAAGGTGTTCGTAAGGGACAATCCCCTTGCCATAAATCGCTGCGGATATCCGCCTTCTTAATTCTTGAAGCATGGTTCTGGGTCGACCATTTTAATACCGGGGTTTGAGCAAGTGACTCGATTGCATTTTCCTGGGTTTGCAGGCAACCAACACAAGCCTCGAAAAACCAACAGCAATATCTTGCGAAGGGCTACCTGCTAGAGTAATAACTGGGTTCCACTGCGTGAGTCCTTCAACGGTGTGTTTTGTGTGTGTGTGTGTGTTTCCAAGAATTATGAGATTGGCGATCGAGTTTGGTGGGCCTACGGTGAACTTTGCACTTTAAGTCTAGTGAGAGGATCCCCGCAAATGAGGGCTGATCATATTCCTGGCCCCAAAAGGACCACAAACAGGACCTTTTGATCAACCCCTCAAATAGATCTTAAAGTGGAGGAGATTCCTCTCTGGAAATCTGCTGGTTTTTCGGGTTCCATGTGTGTTTGCATGGGAAACAATGAGTAGCCCTCGATAAATGTCAAGCCCCTGGTCGACTGATCCAAGGCCAAGTTTAGAGAGGTTCCTGCTCTTTTGGCACACGCCTGGCTTTTTTGCAGGTGGAATCCGGGCTCAACATGAATGGAAGCTTGGCATTACTCTTTGAAAGCTGATACCGGCCTCAGGGTCCTCAAACCACGCCTACAAATTCGGGCTTCCTTTTTCCCCTGGGGATTTGAGTGCTTAGCCATTCCTGGATCCCAGTTACCCATATGGAAATCCACCGGGCGTTTCAGTGCTTAACCTACATTTCCCCCAAGAAAAAGGAAAAAACACGGGAGGTTCGGTGCCTTCCACGCCCCCCCTCCGTCCCTCCGTCAGGAGGAGCTCCAGGCGAGGGCCAAGGCGCAGCAAGAGCAGCAAGTGCAGCTCCAGTGGCTGGAGGCGCGCAGCGCTCGCTCCGATCTCGCGATAGCGCGACGCGCGCGCGGTCCGCGGGATGGTGGGATGTTTTTTTTGGAGGTTTCAGGTGAGGGTCGATTTTTGGTTCGATGGTTCGTTCTTTGTTTGGGGGAATATGTTGTTTTTCTTTTCCTCTTTTAAGCAAAGGATCCAATATTTTCCGGTGGATGGGTCTTGTTAGGTGTGTTTTTTGTTACCCAACCGTTTGGTTGGTTTTTGAAAGGGACTTTTGGTGGGAAGCCGAAAGGAAAACGAAGGGACAACCATTTGGGAGGGGCGCGAAGGGTCGCCGAAAAATTAAAAACGTTCGGACGAAAGCCAGACCGGCAAAGTTTGTCCTTTTGGGAAGACAAGCGACCTTGGACTGAAGCCACAAGTTCTAGCAGTACTGTTCTAGTAGGTCAGTTTTACTGCAATCAAAGTCCGCGTAGATGAAGGTTAGTAAGGGATGATCCCAATCATAAATGTGCAGCCGCCTTTGTAATTCCTTACATGGTGGTTGTCCATTTTAACACCGATGGGTTTTGATTGAGACTCAGTTGTGCTGGTTGCTCTTTGATCATTTGGTCATATTCTTGGTCTGCTGTTGGAGTTTTTTTTTGCGAGCAACACACACACTGCGGGGGTCGGGGCTTTTCCACCTGCATCCGCGGAATTCAGCAAAACATTTGGTTGCGGGGAGGGTTCCCCTACTTTAAAATAGACTACAGAAGAAAGTTGGTACCCTTATTCTCACCTCTGTACTGGAGGACCTTGGTAGGGTGGTTTGACTGGGGTTATTTTATTTTGGCTGTTTCTGGGGCTTTTCAAGTCACCGACTGGGGCTGCTTGCCTTTTAGACTTCTGAGGATGACTTTGGTAAACCAAGGAGGGCCCGGTTGAGTTCATGTGACATTAGCATCCACTGTACGCTTGGATTTGGTCTCTGGAGAAGAAGCAACTGGTGTTGTTCAACACTCAAAGTGGCCAATGCTAATCCACAGCCCAGAAAGATATTGCAACCCGAGGATTTTGGAAGGATGGTCTTACAGCCAGCGAGTCTCAGACCCAAGAAGCCTGGGCCAACTGGTAACCAACTCAGTTGTTCAGTGGCCCCCTTTTTCCCCCTTTTTTTGGTGGCTGCCCCACTAAAACGGTCTTCCCAAAAAAAGGGTTCCCTTTTTTTCCAGGGTCACTGAACAACTGAGCCAAAGGTCTAAAGTCAACTGACTTTGGACGTCGAAACGCATGACTCCCTTGGCTGACAACCCCGCAGTTTGCGACCGAGTTGGGGCTACGGTGGATGGGATGTCTAGGGAGGTGTACTTTAACCAGATTTTCCAAGCAGCCAGTTGGTCCTCTGCGTTGGGTTTGAGTTCAAGTTGAGTTTAGGGAACCTGTGCCTGGCCGCAATTTACCAGGGTGTCAGGGTGTGTTGTGTTTGGACGTGCTTCATTCACTAGCCACATCCACAAATGGCTACCGCAAGCTGCCGTGTTCTGTTTTCATTGTGGCTCGCTTGGTTAATATGTTGCCCAGTGCTTCGAGGGAGGCCACTACAGTAGGTAACCGGAAAACCATCCACAGTAAAGTCAAGAGGCAAGGCACCCGAAGGGTGACATTTTGACCCCGAATGCAAACAAACCCTGCTGACTATGGTAAAAGCTTCTGCTTTTCAAGGGGATTCAGACCACTTTTGGAGGGGCCCCCACCCCCAAGTATATACATATATATATATAGCATATATATATATATATTTGTATGTGTGTATATATATATATATGAATGCACTGAGGTTACTTTCACCCCCATGCGCTTCGTCGTTTTCTCCAGGGCCGCAGCGCCGGGCAAACCGGCGAGATGGAAGAGTTCGCGCGGGCCTGCGCGGAGGCGCGAGTCGGATGTCGCTTCCAAGCCTTCGGCCGAGGGGACGCAAGCTCTGCCGCCCCCCTCTGTGTTTTTTTCTCCCCCCCATTTTGGGGCTTCCCCTCCCATTTTTCCCAACACACATTGTTTTTTTTCTCCATGATTTTGGGGCTTCCCCTCCCATTTTTTCCAACAAGCATCCCCATTTTTCCCCAGGCGGCCGAGATTGTGTTCCAGGAGGTCCTGTGGCTGTTGGAGACATAAATCTGGGCTTATTTAATGCGAGTGGAAATCCAATGGTTTTAGAAGCATCTGGGGAATTCCCCCCCCAAAGCATCCGCCGTTTTAGAGGAATCTTCAAAAAACTCCCACCATTGCGGACCTAACTCACCTTTTTGACCGTTCCCCTTTCGGGATTCCTTCATTTTCCCTGACCACCAACAAGTTTGAAGCCACTTCTTGCCGGTCAAAATGTCTTCTACCTGCGGGAAGATCGAAGAGAATTCGAACAGATGTCCTTTTAGGTGAGCCTGGTTAAGAAATAGATGGCACTGGTTTAGATGGGTTTTGTTCCGTTTTACCAGCAAAACTCATCTATTGTTCCAAACGGCCACCTAGGAGGACCCCCCCCCCGTCCCGTTTTTCCCCCACCGCCTGGGCGTCTCTGCCCGGATCAGCGGGCTGGGGCTGGGGGGGGGGGTCAGGCGTTGCTGGGCGCAGGGGCGGCGGAGGAGAGGGCGGCCAGTGAGGCGCAGGCGCGGGTGTTCGATAATTTCCCTAAGGACGCGGCTGTGGTGGTCAAAACCAAAAAGACCCCATATTTTTTTCAAGGATGTGGGCAACAACAGCTTCCATTTGCTGAAATTAATATGTTCTTGTTGTTTTCCCCTGTTGGTAGGGAATCGATTTCACCACTGGACATATTCTTTTCCAGGGGCCCTTTCGGATGTGGCTGTGGTTGTCAACATCTTGGGGTAGGTGCACCACCCATTTTGGGCTTTGTTTTAGTGGGGATTCGGATGTTCACTGGGGGGTACGATTTGGATTTTGACCCATGGCCATGTGGGTAACAAAAGCTAGAAAGGAGAAACCGAAATCCATGTGATGTCCCAACCTCCAGTTTTGACACATACCAGGTACGGGCATGCGTCAAGATGGGTGTTTGCCTTTTTGCCTTTTTGTAGCTCATGGACCCTGGGACGTGCCTGGGGATTTAGGTCCACCACTTTTGAGGGGCTGCCCTATTGATTTGCATAGCCAAATTCGTGTAAGGACAGACGTGGTTCAGGTTTGACATCTTAAATCACTGGTAAAACCGTGGTAAAGCCGTCACAGCTCCGTCCTTCGGTGAGCCTTGCTTCTACAAACCTGGTTGGGAAAGCTGGGGCTCCAATGGTTTTTCGTTTTTTTCCCAGAGTTTCAGGCTTGGTGCTTTGGATTGGTCTGGGGATGTTTGCAGCCCTGGCTCTAGAGGGTAAATGGGAAATCACACCTCCACAGCTCACCACAAATCCAAAGCACCACGGGGGGGGGGGGGGGGGAGCTGAGAGTTTGTTCTCAAGAGGTGTCCGGATGGTCTGACAAGAGAAGAAGATTCCGTCTCCGGTGGCACAACCTGCTCACCGACTCGGCGAAGCGAAGCGAGCTATCATGTCCAAGGTCGTGTCCAACATCCTTTCGGCTTTGTTTGGTTCTTCGATGGTTTGCATTTGCTTAACAATATTGTTTATTTTCCCTTGTTGGTTTTAAAGGGAATCTATTATACTGGACATGTTTTTTTTTTTGTTTCCAGGGGGCTGAAGCAAACGGCAGATGGTTTCAACGTGCTTTCAACTTCGAATGCCCTATTCGGATCCGATTCCCCTTTGGGTTTGTCGGGGGGGGGGGGTCCCGAAGAAGAGCTTGAGTTGCAGTGAAATGGCGGTGGTGGTCAAAACCAATGGGATCTCATTTTGGTTGGTAGGTAAATTCACCACCCATTTTAGGACCTATTTTACTGGGGATTGGGATGTTCACTGGGGGTACGGGCTTTTGACCCATGGCCAAATTGGCGTGGCTTAGGTTGGCTTGGAAAACCAACAGGAATCGGATGGGTTCAAATATGTTGGAAAACTCAATTGATGGAAAAGCAATGAAGGCTTGAATTTGGACCAACAAAAACACCATCTCTTTGGGTGGTTTCAGGAATGTGCCCAAGTTCAGACACGAGCACACCCTTTGTAAACATTAGCCCCCATACGCATGAGCGTTCCACACTGTGGACAATTCCAGGCGAACCCATCCGTCTTAAAATGGGGTAGCAATCCCTTCGGATGATGCTTTAAACAGACACAAGAGAGGAGGAGCTATCTTGCGTTGGACAGAAGAGAACGTGAAATCCAAAACAGGGCGTGCAACAAAACATCTTTCACATGTCAAGGCAGGAGGGGCTCGGGGTTTTACTCCGAAGGTAGATCCAAACCCCTGGATTGAAAGTCTACCTTGGATGGAGCCCTGACTGCCTCTGTCTCTCTGTGTGTGTGTGTGTGTCCGAGGGTATTCTTTTTGTGTTGGTGTCAAAAGTTTGGTATCCTGCATAGATTGCTGAGGGAATCCGTGGGGATGTGTGATTCTTTGCCGAAGTTCTTTATTGCTGTTGGCAATCCTAAGGATTCTCATGGGAGCCTTGGATGAGGGCCCAGGCGGAAAATTGCTGTTCTAGGTTGCCACTTGCCATGAGCCATGGCTTACAATTTATGTGTGACACGGTCATAGGGATGGGAGTCGCCACTAAATCTAGCCGTCCTCCCAATTCTGTTCATGGATCCTCTCTTCAGAAATGGTCCAGAAACCCTGCGCAAATTGGTAAATGGGTGGTTTCAGAAGAGAATCATAGGTCAATCAACCCATCAACCCGTAGACTAAGCGGTATCACAGACGGGGTGGTGGCGTCCATTTTCCTCACTACCACGGCTCAAGGGTAAAATGAGCTCACTATGATGGTTCTCTTGTTGGGATCTCTTATTTCAGGTGTTGGACATACTGTGGACGGCTGCAAAATTCATTCCGCACCGCGAAAAGAAACCATTTAATCAACAAATCATCATCAATCCAAAATTTCTGAACGGTGGTGCGAAAGGCATTTCGCAGCCATCCGCAGTATTGCAGAATTTAGTGATTCATTGTTGTCACGGACGGAGGCGATTGTGCGGTGCCAGACTGAGGCAGGGCTGAGTCGTTGAGTGGTGGCCTCTCGGTATGGCTGGTAAAGCTGAAATGACTGTAGTTTATGTTCCCTTGTTGGTTTTAAGGGAATCCATCTCTACTGGAATTATGTCTATTTCGTCCAGGGGGCTGAAGCAAATAGAAGTTTCCCTTCAAAGAGGGTCTGCTTGTTAAAGCCAAGTTTGCCACACCTGGCTCCTGTCCTGCCAACACGGAATATGGGAGTTGACGAAATGACGCAAGGCACAAAATGAAGGAACGGGCCGAGGCCTATTATGACAACCCCGTTGGGCCGTCTACGGAAAGACAAAGCGGAATGACCTGTTCCACTTTGGAGCGCAAGGACTGTTGGGCGCTTCCATTGTTGGCTATTTCGAGGTAGACTCAAACCCAGAGTTGGCTCAGTACGAATTGTGCACAGCAAAGCACCTGGGGCAGCAAAGATTGGCTAAAGCGCCCCGAGCATGCTATATTTTTGCTTATTGTGGTTTAGTGGATGGAATTCAAGCACTTAGCTGCTAAAGTTCTCAATTTGTTGCTCCCCTTCCAACGTCAAGCAAGTCAAGCTCGAGTCAGCACCATCCGATTCGGCCCGGCCATCAACCGCCAACGGCCGAGAGCTCCACCCATCAGAAGTTTCCGGCAACATCCCATCCATCCAGCTGTCCCAAGGTTTCTCGGTAAAAACCAATCACAAGGGAGCGCAACCAAACGCGCCCCACGTTTTTCCTTGTCAGGTTTCCCTCCAACCACAAGGCAGTCCCAAAACGTGCCAACATATGGGTCAGTCTTCTTTTTGTACATTTTTTCGTGGCTTTCAAAGGGACGCCGAAAGAACAACTACCATTTTGGGGGTACCCTAAACTTGGTGGTCGCCAGCCATAGGTTTTGGGCCTTTTCGGGTTTGGTGGGTAGTTTTTTCACTAAACCACTAAGACTTAGTTCACTTTTCGCCGATCTGAAAACGGGCAGCCCGACGAAAACCTTTTGGTACCTTAAACCTCGTCCAACAACGCATAGAATCCAGACAGAATCCACGACCCGGGTTGGTGGAATGATTTTGTGCCCTGTTAGCGTCCGCTTTGTGGGGTGAAATGGGGTGGACTTGGGAACCAGAGAGTGCTGCTTGAGCATGGAGTCACGGTCTTTTGCTCATGTTCAAGGGTCTGATCCCTAAACCCGGGGGCACGACCGTGCCACCCTCGTCCAATCCTCGTATGGTATGACCAAAGAAACCACCCGTCAGCCGGGGGAACTTTTCGTTGAGGCTACCAGTTGTTGATAGCCCAATCGGGTGAGGAGTGAGTCGGTCTGAATTGGACATGGCTTGTCAAATAACATGGTTGTTGTTGGGAAACATTTCACATTTTTGCTTATTGTGGTTTAGTGGGAAATTCTCACTTAACTGCTTTTTGGTTTGCTCCCCTTTCAACGTCAACCAAGATTCGGACCCCAAACACGGTTTTCCTTTTGGTTTCCTTGAAACCAAAGTGAACATAGCACCTTGGATCCTGTCCCCGCCCACTAACAGTGGATGAACATTTGGCCATGGGTCAGATCCCGTACCGCCAGTGAACATCCCAATCCCCACTATAATAGACAAAACTGGGTGGTGCACCTACCCGAAAATGGTACCATTGGTTTTGACCCACAGCCATTTTGATCAATTACTGAAAATCAATCCTCCAATTTGTGGTGACAGGCAACGTCTTTGGGGGCAGCGAGCAAATGGTAGACTCAAGCGAGCTTCCAGGCCCAATCTTGCTGGTTCTCACAGAATGAGCTATGGAGTGATCCGAATAAACCGTCCAACCGGCGACCCTCCCACCAACTAACATGGAAGTGCAAAAGGCCCTTTCCAAGAGGAAAGTAGTTTTTCTACAGGGGTCTGTGCACTTCCATGTTAGCTGCTGGGAGGGTAAGGGAACCCCCCAAAAAGGGTTCATTCCCAACACCCGCTCTGGGTCATTCCCGGAACCTATCGCGCCAGCTTTTGCAATCTCAGCTAGGCCGGCCGTCGCCAAGCGCAAGCCTTGGAGGCACGCCCGAACTCCGCGACTCCGACGATTCCGATCGCTTGGGAAGGGCCGAAGAACCACGTGCAGGAGTTTACACATGGTGGAAAGAGGGTGTCTTTGACTTGTCACTTCCATCTATTTTGAAAGGGTTTTGAAGTATAGGTTGATTCATTAAAAAATGTGCATATATGGTTGTTTCACGCCAAAGCTGGCTTACGAGGAGTGGGCGTGACCCAGTAGCTTTGGTGCATTTTGCCAAGGGATGTTAGGACTTTAACTTTTTGCCAACTAGTGGGTTTTTCAAATTAAACCACTAAAAGTTAAACTTTTAGCAGGGGAGCAGAAAGCAACCGAGGTGGTTTACCCTGCTCCAACACTCATGGAAGCAAAAAAGGAAAGTGTGCGAAGACTTCCGCTTGTTGGACAGAGGGTAGAAATGTAGGAGCGACTCGGGATGTGTTTGTGTTGTTTCTGGCTCACTTCCTGCGTTGATGGACTTGAGTTACTTTTTGGATTTGGACTTTTAGTGGTAAAAGGGGGGAAGTAAGAAGTTCGCTTACTTGTTTTGCCAATCCACTCGATCGGAAGTGAGTTGGTCAGTTCCATTGGTTGAGGAACCGTCCACGAGCCATATCTAATTGAACCGGTCCAGACATGTGTAACAGGCGAGGGAGCAGACATGTTTCTATCAACTGAAGGCTCAGGATCACATACCTTTCTTGGGGACTTGATGTCAGGAGTGGCAGATTACCATGTCTGCATGCATGTGCACATGACATACTGTTTGCCTCAACCGAAGCCTTCGGTCCAAGTCTTCGGTTTCGTTTTCGCGCACCCGTTTGCTGACTGAGCGCCACAATGGGTTCCAATACCTCTGGCGAAGTGTGCTCCCACTCCGGCGTCCCCAACAGTGAACCAGGACCGTGCGGTATGTCAGGTGAAGATCTTTTCGCCTTGGGATCGGCTTTTGCGAAAGGAGCTCCAGAAAATGACAGACAGGGAAACTGCATGCAACGGTGGTCTCATCCGGATGCAGGTGAAGGCGTATTGCGCTGGAAAGAAGACAGGTCGTGGGGCTTTCACGGTGACAGCGATCATGGCATCGGAAAGCATCGCGGGTCAGATGCCGAGTCGTGCAGCGTGATGTAGAGGCGATGGGACATCCATCGCAGTTTTAACGCTTCCACCTGTGAAGACAGAGAGCTGTGGGTCAAAACCAAGGGGATCCCATTTTGGGGGTAGGTGAATTCACCACCCATTTTAGAACCTATTTTAGTCGGGGATAACCGGGCTTTTGACCCATGGCCTTTTAATGATGTCACTAGACAGAACAGTGACGCCACAACAGGGGCTACAGTTTTAACAATCACAGCGGAGCGCTTCGCACCAAAAAGGATACGCGTGCGCGGCTGGCTGTGGTTCCATAGGCTCTGGATTGACCCATACTAGGTCCCCCAGCTAGGTGCCCTTCTCTCCCCTTTTTTGGATGGGAGGGTTCCCCTACTGAAATTGACTACAGAAAAAAAGGGTACCCCTATTCTAACCTCTCACTGGAGGACCTAGCATAGCTCACCCATGTAGGGGTCATGGGATCCCTGGGTTCGCCGCGGCTCTCGACGTCTCAACATTGCAAAGCGCACCTTCCCCGCGCAACGCCATCATTTGCCCTTAAAAAACCACATCGACGGATGTAAATATGCCCAATCCAAGTTCAGCAGCCAGGACCGCCAGCAGCAACTTGAAGAAGGCTTCCATGAACATCGAACCCTTATTGGAATTTTCGAGGCCTTCCACCCTTAACCCTCTGGAACTTCTCCAGCCGCTCCCTGTACACCGGACACGCGTTAAAGCCGATGAATTGAGTTCAAGCCTTAAGCACACTCACATACCAGCATTTTCCTAGGGTCAATTGGTACCTAAAAAATGGCTTGCAGGGCACATCAGGTTTCTTATGGACCACCCTTGGAGGGTGCTGGTATGGAAACATAATTGCCTATCTATATATATATATATATATAATATGTATAGCTCGAGTGATTCCCACACTTATGTTGAGGTGTTCTAAGGTGGCTGTGAATTCAACTTGATTCTTGCTAGGCAAGGTGCCGAAGCGCCGAAGGGAAGCCCCTGCACCTGGTTTGAGCATCAGATCCCATTGTCTGATGGGGCGATTCAGGGATCACTTCGGGATTTGGGGGGTAAATCCCTTTGGGCCAAAGGGGTATTCTAGGGATAACTTCCCCATTCTAAACCCAGGGATCTGAGTCTTTCTAGAAAACCACCAAACACCCTGGAGAAATGGCTGGCTTTTGAAAAGAACGATGAAAAGAATGGAACAGGAAAATCAACCCCTAGAGGTATGTGTCAAGATAAGCCGCCCCCCCCCGCCCCCCAAAAAGAAGACAAGAAAGTGATGGTTTTCTCCTTGTGGCTCAACCCCCACTGATCGACAGGAAAAGGAGCTGCGGATCCTCGCCCTGAGCGAGGAGAATGCCGCGCAGGAGGGGCCCGGGGGGCATGGCATCTCGGAACTCGCCCAGCTGTCGGCTCGGAGCGGTTCTGGAGATTTGGGCCCTCCCATTTGGGTGTGGCTCAAAGATAAAGAGCTAGGGTTACGCAGGTTTTGGTCCATGTTTCCACTTACCAGGGTTCCATTTTGGTACCGGTTTTTTGAGCCACGCCCATTTGGCTGTGGGTCAGAACCAATGGGATCCCATTTTGGGGTGTCTTCACCACCCATTTTAGAACCGGTTTTTAGTGGTTGGATTGAATGGGATGTTCGCTGGGCGGCCGGGCTGTTGACCCATTTGGCTTCATGAACCGTAAGCGCGGGCTGTGGCGGGCTGTGGCGGGGACGGAAGGAGTCCACTTTCTGCAGAATCCATTGGGCGGCTTGCCGGACATGTCGATGGCCTGGGGATGACCATGCAAAAAGGATACCTAGCCGGTTTGTACTTGCCTTTGCAGGCAAGAAATGTCTTGGCGTTTTGGGGGCAAGCAGTAGGACATCCTGCTGGCATCGTTGGCTGGTGCTTTCAACAACTTTGAGCTGCCCTAGAATCCTTCAAATTGTCCAGCGTTTGCGCTCGGACCTGAACACACCACCTTCCGAGCTTCACCCAAAGGCACCGAACAAAATTTCGCTTCATGTTGGTCCCAAATTCCCGGTTTGCTTGATTTCAAGATATGTCAATACCAAGCTTGGTTAAGGGACATTCAGACATGTTTGATCTGACATGACTTTCTCGCGAATCAACCCTTGGCATACACCCAAACGTCAGATTCTCAAATTACAGAGCGCTCCCCCTATTATATATATATATATATATACAAATAAATATACATATACACAGATCCATATATGACCGGAGCAGTCCCCCACCCACTGCCCACGCAGCAAATGCGAGGCATTTTCCGTGGTGCAGCATGAGGAGGAGGCCTCAAGGCCGCCGGAAAGCGCATAGACAGCGTTCGGGTCAGGTTCAGAAAGGGGGAAATCAAGCTAGGTGCACAGGAACCAGCAGGGATTTCAATAGGAAGTTTGTTAAACACCCAGCAAAAAGTCTTCCTGTAGTTGGTCCCTAGTAACTTGGTTATATAAAAGTTTCGTACACCTGCTTGGTGGAAGTTGTTTGGACATAATTTTCCGTAGTTGGTTTCTTGGATAGGTGACCTAGCTGGTTGATAGGGCCGTTCCCTCAAGTGATCTGCATGCCCTCAACTGGACCCCCAACGAATAGCACAGGCGATATCAAGATTCATGAAAGCTCAGCTTTACTTGATTCGCAGGGTCTGAGTGGGGTGTGCCTAGTTTCCTTACCCGGAAATCATAAGCCCCCGGTCGATCAAGAGGGGTCTCGTGAGGATGGTGGAGGCGTCCCCCTTGTTTCCTTACCCTACCTTCAACAATCATCGAAGCGGACAGGAGGATGTTGCAGACTGCCGAGCCTTTGCTTGGCCCCTTGTCCACTTCCATGATTGTTGGAAAGGTTGAGGTGCTGACAATATGAGTTATTGGTACGCTACATGGCGGGACAAGCCAGGTTTTCCGCACAACCACCTTTCATACAAACAGTTTTGTTTGACCGTCAATCATACATTTCCTTTAAACCAGGGCATCATCCTATGTAGGAGGTTCAAAATTCGGGCACGTACCAGGCCCTTTGAGTTCCACTCCATACCGGCCTTTGACTCTGAGTCGTTGACCAACGTGGGGCCAAGTGAAAAAGCAACTTGCCCGGCAAAAAAATCAGTTCCAAGAAGAAATCTGGTCTCAGAACATATATATCCTCGGAGCCGAAGACCTCAAATAGGGCCCTTGAACCCCACATAGCGCCAGTTCATTCAAAGACCTGGAAGGTCATTCTTTGCTGAGCAACAGCATGTAAGTAAGTCACAATCAACAACGGTTTTTCAGCACCCCCGCCCATCAATCCGTCTGATTACCTGAGTCATAATCAGAGAATGGTCTGAAATTAGTCTACCCGGGTATTGGTGAGTGCGAGGGTATAATGTTTAAAGAGCTCCTAAAGGGCCCATCGAAGGATTCGTGCGTAGAGTATGTTCCAAACCGCAGCCAGTTCTGAGTTCAATGGGTTCCCCTCAATCGAGGTAAGCTAAACATCAACCAACAGGTAGGGGGGTGGGGCTTCGGAAAGAACCGGGTCTTGTGGTCACATAGGTCACGTCCCAACGAACACCCGGCATTTCTTGAAGAGCAAGGAAAAAAGGTGGTCAGGCCTCTGGGGGGGTCTCAACTGGTCGATCTCAAAGCGAGTCGGACACCTGCAATTGCCTGGCTTTGTGAGTTTGTTGATTCAATTTCCCACATATTGGTCCCCAGTTCCCGACCCAACTCGGAGGCAAAGCAAACAATGTGTTCTGGTTCCGTTTCATATGTAGTCAACATGAAATCACGCATCCCTAAAAAGCCCCAAGACGAAATTATAGTGGATGGGTGTGTGACGGATCTGGAGTACCTACCTGGTCAACGTGGTCATTATGAACTGCATGCAACAGACCTATGGCCGGCGGCATTCCAATTCATTCCCAACCGATCACAAGTTCAAGCCCCCAAAAAGGAACCCATTCCCAACCGATCACAAGTTCAAGCCCCCAAAAAGGAACCCATTCCCAACCGATCACAAGTTCAAGCCCCCAAAAAGGAACCCATTCCCAACCGATCACAAGTTCAAGCCCCCAAAAAGGAACCCATTCCCAACCGATCACAATTTCAAGCCCCCAAAAAGGAACCCATTCCCAACCGATCACAAGTTCAAGCCCCCAAAAAGGAACCCATTCCCAACCGATCACAAGTTCAAGCCCCCAAAAAGGAACCCATTCCCAACCGATCACAAGTTCAAGCCCCCAAAAAGGAGCCCATTCCCAACCGATCACAAGTTCAAGCCCCCAAAAAAACCCCAAAAAGGAACCCATTCCCAACCGATCACAAGTTCAAGCCCCCAAAAAGGAACCCATTCCCAACCGATCACAAGTTCAAGCCCCCAAAAAGGAACCCATTCCCAACCGATCACAAGTTCAAGCCCCCAAAAAAGGAACCCATTCCAACCGATCACAAGTTCAAGCCCCCAAAAAGGAACCCATTCCCAACCGATCACAAGTTCAAGCCCCCAAAAAGGAACCCATTCCCAACCGATTCACAAAAAGTTCCCAACCGATCACCAAGCCCCCAAAAAGGAACCCATTCCCCAACCGATCACAAGTCAAGCCCCCAACCCATTCCCAAGTTCAAGCCCCCAAAAAGGAACCCATTCCCAACCGAACCACAATTCAAGCCCCCAAAAAGAACCCATTTCCAAACCGATCACAAGTTCAAAAGCCCCAAAAATGAACCCATTCCCATCCGATAACAAGTTCAAGCCCCAAAAAGGAACCCAGTCCCACCGATCACATGTATCCAGCCCCCAAAATGGAACCCATTCCCAACCGACCACAAGTCCTGTCAGCCCCAAAAAGAACCCAAAATTCCAACCGATCCAAGTTTCAAAGCCCAAGCCCCAAAAAGGAACCCATTCCCAACCGATCCACAAGTTTCAAAGCCCCCAAAAAGGAACCCAATCCCAACCGATCACAAGTCAAGCCCCCCAAAAGAGGAACCCATTCTGAGGCCCCCACAATATCACCGCCCACCACCCAAAAAGGAACCCTTCCCAACCGATCACAAGTTCCATCAAGCCCCCAAAAAAGGAACCCATATCCATCCGATCAACAAGTTCAAGCCCCCAAAATGGAACCCCATTCCCAACCGATCACAAGTTCAACAAGCCCCCAAAAATGAACCCATTCCCAACCGACACAAGTTCAAGCCCCCAAAAAAGTAACCCATTCCCAACCGATCACAAGTTCAAGCCCCCAAAAAGGAACCCATTCCCAACCGATCACAAGTTCAAGCCCCCAAAAAGGAACCCATTCCCAACCGATCACAAGTTCAAGCCCCCAAAAAGGAACCCATTCCCAACCGATCACAAGTTCAAGCCCCCAAAAAGGAACCCATTCCCAACCGATCACAAGTTCAAGCCCCAAAAAGGAACCCATTCCCAACCGATCACAAATTCAAGCCCCCAAAAAGGAACCCATTCCCAACCGATCACAAGTTCAAGCCCCCAAAAAGGAACCCATTCCCAACCGATCGCAAGTTCAAGCCCCCAAAAAGGAACCCATTCCCAACCGATCACAAGTTCAAGCCCCCAAAAAGGAACCCATTCCCAACCGATCACAAGTTCAAGCCCCCAAAAAGGAACCCATTCCCAACCGATCACAAGTTCAAGCCCCCAAAAAGGAACCCATTCCCAACCGATCACAAGTTCAAGCCCCCAAAAAGGAACCCATTCCCAACCGATCACAAGTTCAAGCCCCCAAAAAGGAACCCATTCCCAACCGATCACAAGTTCAAGCCCCCAAAAAGGAACCCATTCCCAACCGATCACAAGTTCAAGCCCCCAAAAAGGAACCCATTCCCAACCGATCACAAGTTCAAGCCAAAAAGGAACCCATTCCCAACCGATCACAAGTTCAAGCCCCCAAAAAGGAACCCATTCCCAACCGATCACAAGTTCAAGCCCCCAAAAAGGAACCCATTCCCAACCGATCACAAGTTCAAGCCCCCAAAAAGGAACCCATTCCCAACCGATCACAAGTTCAAGCCCCCAAAAAGGAACCCATTCCCAACCGATCACAAGTTCAAGCCCCCAAAAAGGAACCCATTCCAACCGATCACAAGTTCAAGCCCCAAAAAGGAACCCATTCCCAACCGATCACAAGTTCAAGCCCCCAAAAAGGAACCCATTCCCAACCGATCACAAGTTCAAGCCCCCAAAAAGGAACCCATTCCCAACCGATCACAAGTTCAAGCCCCCAAAAAGGAACCCATTCCCAACCGATCACAAGTTCAAGCCCCCAAAAAGGAACCCATTCCCAACCGATCACAAGTTCAAGCCCCCAAAAAGGAACCCATTCCCAACCGATCACAAGTTCAAGCCCCCAAAAAGGAACCCATTCCCAACCGATCACAAGTTCAAGCCCCCAAAAAGGAACCCATTCCCAACCGATCACAAGTTCAAGCCCCCAAAAAGGAACCCATTCCCAGCTTTTACTAGGCCTTGGTCGCTCGCCCCTCCCCATTGGCTCATGGCCCAAGCCCATCTCCGCCCGTTTTTCCCCCACGCCCCACGCCCCCCGCGTCTCGCTCGCGCCCCGTCCCGCGAAGCGCAGCCCGCGAGCCGCCCAGGCTGCGGCAGTGGAGCTACGCCTACGAGGCCACGGCCAAGGCGCCGGGGCTTTTGGGAACGCCCCCGCGGGTTTTTGGGGTGCGGGATTGGGGAAAAAGAGAGGCGGGAGGGATCGTATCCAGGGTTGTTGGGAAACATTTGAGTCATTTTTGTTTGTCGTGGTTTAGTGGTTGAAATCCCCACTTAACTGCTAAAATTTAAATTGTTGCTCCCCTTTCAACGTCAACCAAGTAGGTTCGCCGCAGGCCAGGTCAGCTTAAGTCTTTTTTGCCGCCCCTCTGGGTGAAGGCGCTGACGCCGGCTACCGCCGAGTTTGTGGAAGACAAAAGCTGGGAGCCAGGGGTCTTTTGCCCACATCGCCTTGATCGGGGTTTGGGGCGGGTTCAAAAGGAGATTCGGTTCAAGGTGCTGGGGCTGTTAAAGGCGCAGCTGGGCAGAGGTTTTGAGCCAGGCTGCCAGGCTCGCAAAAAGGTTCTTGGACCACTGGCTCGCGCGGCGAAAGCGAATCGCTCTTTTGACCTTTTGGGTTTCCCGCGTTTCCATTCTTGGTCATGGTGCCAAAGGTTTCCACCTCCTTTGGGCAAGTGAGCTCTGGAATGTAGAAAAGAAAGGAAGAGCCAAAACCAGAATGCCTACGCAGTCCCAGCCAGACCTAAGTTTGGACAGATGCCCACCATTTTTGGCCCTGGTTTTGGGCGTAAGCTCCTTAAATGCCAGTGTTGCCTGCGACTCACTTAGAGGTAGAACCCTTTTCAGGTTTTGTGGTTTTGGGATGAGCTGAGAAGCTGAAATGTTTTGATCTGTTCACTTGTGGTCAGCAAGGGCTGCAAGAGGAAGCCTGAAGGCAGGCCAGACGTTTTCCGAGATTTTTCCGAGGTGAGAAGTCACGCAGATAGGTAGGCCATACAGTTTTCGCTCATTACCATGACCGCTAGGATTTATGTGATATATAGATATAGATGTATCATACGAATCATGATATTTTCTTATTATATACATATAAGAAACAAACAGGTGATTTTTTTAAACAACAAGTAGCGCTCCTTTGCACAGTCCCTGGGCCAATTGATGAGAACCCCGGATTAATACACGCCTGGTGGATTTTGGGAGATGGGGCTGTCCCTACGGATTCGAAGTATTTTGAGGACGTGTACTTAGATCCGGGCTAGGGACAGTCCAGCAGGTGACTTGGGGCAAGCCCGTTTGGTTCCAGAAGGTTCTTTTTTATTGTTTTATATTTTATTTTTTATTTGCCTTCGCTGTTTTCAGTTGGTTTAGTGGTTGGGTCCCATATAACCTACAAGTTTAAAAAAAATGAGCAGGGGATCTGACTACAGGTTTGGGGGGGGGGTTCCATTTGACCCACGAAAAGTTGCTGGAACTTTTAGCAGATCAGAAAACGGAGGGCCCAGACCGCTCGCGCGGCCTTCCTTGCGCTCAGGCGGAGGCCCTGACGGCGCAGCGCGGGGCTTCCCGATGGAGAGCAGAGGTTGGGCTAGTCGGACATGGGCCCACTCTGCCATTCCTGAGGTCCAGCAGGATCCTTGCGACTGATCCGCCCCAAGACGCCATCTTTTTCTTTTGCGAGGGGATTTGCGGATTAGACTCCAGGTCGATGAGGCAAACCTCGGGGGATTTTCAAGGTCGTATCGATGAACAGCAAGGGGCGGTTATTGGACCTGCTGGTGCGATAGGTAGGGAATGACTTCGCGAAGTTTCAAGGACAGGGCCCCCATTTTGGCTTGCTGGTGCGAGAATTAGGTAGTTCGAGACCGGGTGTTGGGAGAAGAAGCAAGGAAACCATAGTGGATGGTTGATCTCGGGGTCATTCCAATCTCTGAGAACCAGCAAGACAAGCTGGGTCGATGCCCAGATAGGCGATACGGAGTGGTTCAGAGCAGCTATCAAGGAGAGGGTTGCAGGGTGTTGGGGGTCCTAGCTGGGCCTACTTTTTGAGGCGAAGCTTTTTGACGCCTGGGAAACCAACAACAAGGGAGCCATTTCTTTGAATCCCCCTTTTGACATATTAACTTTCTGCAAGTGAGTTCGTGGGAAGTGACACTCAAGTAGC